TTAAACATGCTCAAGCTCTTAAATTTATCAAAACCAAATCAATATTCAGTGCTTATTCGTGATGCTGAAAGAGGTTCAGATTAGATATTATGGCTTCTGAAACTGGGCAGATTAAAAGAGAAACTGAGACACAAAAACTGTGACACCAGGCAAGGTCAGTGGTGCATGAACACCATACTGTTCTATTAAATATTATAAATATTTATAAACATTTATATATTTATTTTTATATATATATAAATATAATATAAAGCCTATTTTCTTTTACTTTGGCACGATGAACATGCACAGAAAAGAACAAGTGTTTCACTTCCAAAATTGTTCCACTGACTCCAGAAATAATTCCTTAACCTGTGCAGTTAATTTTCTATTTATATAATTTATATAATAATTTTACACATATTTATTATATTTTATTAATAATATTTTTCTATAGAATATTATATATTTTTTATATTTTATATATTATATACTATATATATTATATATATACTTTATATATATAAAGTTTCCATTTAGATTTTTCTATTTCTGTTTATTTTCTCTTTTCTCATTGCAGATATACAGTTGCTCACAATCTCTCAAAGAACTCTGTGTTTCAAATACTGTATGAGCTGGTAAAAATCATATCACGATTTAAAATTGAAAAAAAACTCAGTGTGCAATACTCAGGAATTTTTGGCTTAAAGGATAAACAACAAAGGAAATTGTATCTAGTCTTTAGGAAGATATTAACCATTTTTGGTGAAAGCACAGGTGTAGTGACCAATCTCATCTCCAGGACACCACCACATTTTTTAAAAACTTTCAAATGTTTTTTAAACTTTTTAAAAACCACACCAACCACAGTGGAAGAGGAACCACACGGAACCACAGTGAAACCTTTGCCCAAGAATAAAATTCTCCTTTCAAAAGGAACCTGACAAGCAGCATTTTGGGACTTTTGCTGGTCAGAGTGACTCTGAGATGTGTCAGAAAGTCTCTTTTCTCAGCTTGGCAGTTGAAAAAGGAGTCAGAACTCTTCAGTTCTCATTCTAAGGTTGTTTATTGTATCTTATCTATAAAATTTTTTCTCTGGCCTGCTGAGGTCTGTTCAGCAGGACAGACAGAGGCACACTGTCTGTCCCTGGGGTGGTGTTTTCTTTTTATACTAAAAACTAAGTGTACATTATTTACAATAATTTTCCAATACCTATCACCCATGTTAGACAGTGAGCTTCTACTCCAAACCAATCTAAAAGTGCCAACATCACAGCAGAAGATGGAGGCCAAGAAGGAGAAAGGCTGGACATGCTTAGATTCTTTTATCTTGCCTCTTGAACCACCCTTCTAAAAACTCTAAACATCTATTTTTCACCCCATGACAAACTAACTATTATTCTACTTTAGACTTTCGTGGCTTGCAGATCCTCATATAAGGTTGGTAATTTTTTCTATGGGTCATAATTAAAGTTACAGGTGTCTTGGGCTCTGTGCCAAGGTCTCTGAGCCCCCTGGCAGGGGTTCAAGCCATCCAGGATGTCCTGAATTCCGACACCAGCACAGACACAAATCAGACTAATCAGGTGTTGAGTGGTTTTGCAGATCTGATGCTTTCCCACCCTTAGACCCTAAATAAATTCTCCACGTTTCCCACTGAAGCCCAGCTGTCCCACTCTGCTCTGTTTGATGGAACGATGTGCCAGGAACACTCCCTGACAGCTTCTGCCCAGCCCGGCTCAAACACTTCAAAGGGTGACAAAAGGGACAAGGAGTGGCTTTAATCCTAACCCATCACATAAAAATATTGTCACAGGATGCATACATTGTTATATTGTCACAATGCTATCCATTTAAAAGTGTGGTGTGAACTGAGTTTGCCTGGAGAAATGTTTAGGGATTTTGCTAGCTAGTTTTGCCTAAGATTCCAAAAGCTAAAGTCTACAGCACCCACCTAAATTTTTTGGGGGATTTTATTGGGTTTGGGGGGTTTTTGAGGTGTTTGTTCTTTTGTTTTTTCTTGGGGGTTTGTTTGTTTGTTTAGGGGTTGAGGTTTTGGTGTTTGTAGTGGGGGTTTTGGGTTTTTTTGGGGTGTTTTTTTGTTGTTGTTTTTGTTTGTTTGTTTTTCTTGGGGGTTTTGTTTGTTTGTTTAGGAGTTGGATTTTTGGTGTTTGTGGTGGGGTTTTGGGGGGGTTTTTTGGGGGTATTTGTTTTTGTTTTTGTTTTGGCGTTTGTTTGTTTGTTTTTTCTTGGGTGTTTTATTTGCTTGTTTAGGGGCTGGGTTTTTGGTGTTTGTGGTGGGGTTTTGGGGGGCTTTTTGGGGTATTTGTTTTTGTTTGGGGGTTTGTTTGTTTTCCTTGGGGGTTTTATTTGTTTGTTTGTTTAGGGTTGGGGTTTGGTGTTTGTCGTGGGATTTTCGGGAGTTTTTTGGGGGTGTTTGGTTTTGGTTTTGTTTGGAGTTTTGTTTGTTTGTTTTTCTTGGGGGTTTTATTTGTCTGTTTGTTTAGGGGTTGGGTTTTTGGCGTTTGTGGTGGCTTTTTTTTTGTGGTGGTCATGGGGTTTTGTTTGCGCTGTTTTCGTATTTTTAGGAGCTGGCTGGGGGTATAAGGCACTTTGTGCTTTCTTGTTTGTTTCTAATGAGGAAACGTCTTTACATCATCAAAAACCTGCTTCCAGAGCTTGATCTTTTTCACCAAGAGCACGTTCCTCCTTCTCCTTCAGCACTAACATCCCACAGAACGAAGAAACCACGGCCCCACTCCGGGCCCAAGGCCAGCGGGCCGGGCTGCCGCGCTCCGCCCGCGGGGCCGGGCGGGAGGCGGAGTCCCTGCGGGGAGAGCGGCTCTGGGGCTCTCACAGCGAGCGAAGGGGAACGGGACGGTGCCTCCAGCGGTGCCTCCTCGGCCCGAAGCCCCGGCAGGCGAAGCGCGGGGGCGGCGGGGCCGGAGCAGCTCCGGGCCGGGCCGGGCCGGGCCAGGGGAGGAGGCGCGGTCGCCATGGAGACGCGTCAGGCCGCGCTTCCTGCCGGTGCGGCGCCACTACTGCCCGGCTGGAAACAACCGAGGCGGCGCCGGCCGAGCTGCAGGGCGTAAAGCTCCGCGGGGGAAAGCAGGGTGTTTCCCGCCGGACGAGTTAGGCGTGCGCCACCATGGATGGTGCAGCGCAGGTGGGAGCGCGGGGCGGCCGCGGGGTCGGGGGGGAACGGGGGATCTGGGCTGGGCCGAACCGAACCGGGCCGGACGGGATTGCGGAGCTGCGGGGAAGGGCGGCGGGAGGGCTCCGGCAGCGGTGCGTGAGGCCGCGGCCTCGGCCGGGCCTCTCCGGTGCCGCCCGCCGCGGTTGTGCGGGAGCGATACCGGAGAGCGCGGCCCCGGGGCGGGCAGGACGGGAGCGCGGTGCCGTCCCCTGCCCCGTGGTGCTGTGCCCTGCCCCAGGAAGCACTTTTAGTACTGAAATGGAGAAAAAAAAAAAAAAACAGCCCAAACCTATTTTTTTGTTGTTGTTTCAGAATTAGTTTGTAGTTATAGTGATTTATTAAGAAAATATGGATATTGATCTAGTACCGATATCCAGCTGTGACGGACAAAAACTCTCTAACAGTTGAAAGTTAGAAAGTGTGTGTTTATTGCGGGATAGCTCCCAAATGCACACCGTGATTTACAGGCGATTACGGAGTCCTTTTATCTGTACAAGTATTGAATACCCAAAATACATATTCATAACTTTGGTACATCTCATTACCCGCTTCCTATGGTAATTCGTTCAAAATCCATTAAGCATGCGTAGTTTTTTCCTTGAAATGGGTCGGTGGTCCCTTTCATGGGGAGGGGTCCCAAAATGAGGAAGTAAATGAAGTCTTCCTCGTTCTGACCTTTCTACCTTTTCAATGCAAATATGACAAATGAACCCATTGGTAGGACTCCCATTCCCCATCTTCAATTGGTTTCAGAACAGAGGAGGCTACAATTGGCTTATGTTCCTAAAAGCCATTTATCAGTTTCTACATTCTTCATTATAAACCCAGCTAACCAAACATTGTGTTGACAAGCAATCAGTTATTAGTTAACTACTAACTCTTTAACTTCATCAAGGTCTACCCATTTATTTTAATTAACTCCAATAAAGCTTATCTCTAACTAAAATCTTCGCTCCTCTAAAATCTATAAATTTCTTAAAGTTTATGTCTCAATAGAGCTTGTATATTTACAAAGCTCTTGCCTACTGGCAGTGTTCTTGGGATTCCAGCATATCTAAGAATCTGACTGAAGCTCAAGCATTGCCATTCTGTTGCTGGCACTTTGTTCTCCTGTGTATTTATTTTTTTTCCTTCCTGGGTCATTAACTTGACGAAAGATGGCCAAAATTGATACCCACACTACTAGTTAGGTTTTGCTTAGTGACCTGTGCTAACCTGGTATGTTTTGGTTCATTTCTGTTTATGTGGTTTTACATGCTCTCCTGCTTTAAGAAAGTTGACTTCTTACTCAGGCAGGATGAAAAAAAAGCCATTTTGTAAAAACAAACACACACCTTTTATTGTATCTTCTTGTATGGATCTTATTCCCATTTTGAAAAATGTCACACATTTATGTACTTCATGTTTTAACGTGTTAAGTATGGCATTGCTTCAAAGTCAAAAGTTTGCTTTAAAGAGTGTCTGTGTAAAAGGTGTGACTGTAACCTGGGGTGTTTCTAAGCAGTTCAATTTACATACAAAATGATTTTTAAAGAAGGATATGCTGAGGCACTTGGATAGGGAACACAAGATTTCACATTTGACAGGCTGTGGGATGGAGTGGCCACGTGAATTTTAACTTTTTCTGCACAATAGTTCTCATATAATCGTGTAGAGGTGCTTGAGGGGAACAGTCAGTTCTGTGATTCTGCAGTTTGCCATATCCTTGTTTTTGTTTTTCCTGTTTCTCTTCCAGGTTGTGATTTCATGGATTTGATTTCCTAAGGCAGTGCTGAGAAAGGGATTGCAAACCCATCAGGCCATGGCCCTGGGAAGGATGGAGCAGAAGGACTGGTACAAGGTCCTGGGGGCCAAACCTTCGGACAGCCCAGCAGAACTGAAAAGGAAATACCAAAAACTTGCTTTGTTGGTAAGGCTGGATTTGGTTTTTGGGATACACTGATGGATTCCTTGCTTCTTTTGTGCCAAGATCAGGATTAAATGTGTGAGAAAGTATTTTGTGTTTGGACTCAGATGTTTGTGGGTTCTTATTCTACAGTCTCACAAACCCTGAGTTCTACAGCACTTCACTCTAACAAACTGAAAATGGAACTGTATCTCCCTCTCTACAAGGCCTTTTAAGGATAAACTGTCCAATTAAGAAATTACACCTAAATTATTTTCACTTTTAACCCAATAACCAACCACCCGTGGCCCACAATGTGGACTTTTTATCCAATTACACAAACCCACCCAACCCATGGAGAAGAAGGTGAAGAAGAGGGACCAGCCTCCACCCTAAAACCTCCATCTTGCTTTATATATATTACTATATTCTAAAATCTTAAACTCTGCGTTTTCCCCCCTGTGATATCACACACTTCTATCCAAACTCCACACCCACAATCCCAGTTCTGTCATTCCATTTTGGAAGCCTTCTCCACAGCCTCAGGTCAAATGCAATGTTCTCTTGGGGGTCAGTGCCTGCCAGCACAGAAAGTCTGAAATTCTCAGCATCCAGGCTTCCAACAATGCACCAAAGTCATTTTTATAAACCAATAAAGTAATAGTGGCAGGGTTTGTTTTTACAGTTTTTGTGATTGATCAGATGCAACCCTCAAGTACACAAAGACCAGATGCAAAGTAAAAAAAGAAGTTTCTTTCCTGATAGTCAGCTGTAATGAAATAAATAATGAATAGGAGGAAAATATGTTAATTTTATTGGAAAGCTTCTGATGAGTTTTTGTGGAGTTGTATTGTTGGTCATGCATCAAGACTTCACATTCTGTGAATTCCCCTAATTTTTTCTGCACTGCTGCTGTTTGTCCTTGAGAATCTCAGAGCTTTACCAGATTATTCTGTGTGATTTTTGGTTATTCTGCTTTACTCCCTCCCTTGGATTCAGGCATTTTGCTGAAAAAGTGCTCTGGCTTGGGTTTCTGAGGAAAGTGAGGTATCTTTTTTGGTACTGTTGACTCTTTTCAGCTGAATTTGATAGACAGATAGAATTCCAAGGTAACTAAATTCCTGTTTTTTAAAAGCTGGTGACTTGGTAGAGAAGAAGAAAGGCAAGCAGATCTCAGTTTTTGTAGGAAAAACTCCCTTTTCTGGAGGAAGCTGCTAGCTAGGCTGCCAGTATTGGCAGGGTGTTTGTTGGAGCATGTGCATGGCAGATCTGAGGTGGTTTGAGGTGCTAAATGAATGTGATAAGAAGTTGGGATTTTTAAGGGAGGTAAAGAGAATGCCAGTGATCAGGAGACTGAGTTTTATTAGAGTTGAAGTAAATTCATGGGTTTGGAGGGAAGGTTGTTAATTTTTATTTTTAACCACTATAAAAACAGTACTAAAGTTTGGTCATTTCACCAGTATGTTCCAGTTTTACACATCTTGGTATTCTTCAGCTGGATTTGCTGGGCACCCCCTGCTGTACATCTCCTCCACCTCAGTGCCTCCTGTGAGCTTTTTTCTTTGCCTGAAACTGATTGGTGTACTTAGTCTTAAGTTCTGCACCTGGCAAGGTGTTTGTGTGCAGATTCTGGACATAAATCGTTTGGTTCTCACTATTAAACTTTGATTGTCCTAACTTAGGAGAGGGCTTTGGAAGCCAAGTTTCTTAGTTCTATTTTGAATAGAAGTTGTTTTCTTGGACCTCCCAATGGTTTTGTTCTATTGATTTGCTGGTAAATGTGAGTAAAAGATGAATAAAGGTCTGTTTGTTCCTAATGGTGGCCAGGGGACCATGATGTAAAATACCCCTTCTGTCCAGATGGGGCTAATTTAAACTGAATACTGTAATGGAATTAATATATGTATTTGCTTGTGAAATGGTGTATAATAATGGAATTAAAATTACAGGTGTTTTTCAGAGCTGTTACAGAAGTGAAACTTTCATAGTCCCTTTCTTGTATGAAGTTTTTTAAAGTTGTGTTATGGAGCTGTGCTTCAGAGTAATTTCATGTCATTGTTTTGGGGTGTATGAAGCAGGAATTAGCAAAGTTTAGAGCTGTGTGTCTACATCTCTAACTGTAGTTTCAGAAGATTAAAGTATTGGTTTAATACACAAGCATTTCTTTAGCACCTGTGTATTTCCCACCTGCTTGGTTAGTGCTCTTTATTTGAAAAGTCAGTGAGAAATGGTAGAGATAGTGAATATACTTCTTTTTGTTTTTCTTTTAGTGTCTGTGATGGATCCCTCTGACTAAAAAGAGATGTTTACTGATGTTTACTTGTAGGTGTTTTCCCAAGGCAGATCTGCTGCCTGTGTGTGGTTGTTACCATATGTCCTGTCTGTGCTCATCTTTTCCTTTTAGCTGAGCTCTTACAGGCTCTGCTGGATGCTCTCCATCCTGATGCAGCACTCCCCAGTCACTCTGGGGTCCTTAAAGCATGAGAATACCAAGGTTTTTATGCACCTCCATGGGCTGTAGGAGAGACTGGAGGGCACAGCACATATCTGCTCTTAGTTACAGTGGGAAGGTGCCTCAGTTGGAGAGGTTCCATGGTTGGAAAAGTTGTAAGACTTTGCTGAAAGTCTGCCATGGCATGTTAACACAGAAATGTTAACACATGGCATGTTCTCTGGGATTTCTGAGCTGTGGACTTGCAAATATTTGATTTATTAGGGGAGTGTTGCTGAATGTGAATGTTGGTTTTATCCTGGTGCTGTTCCCTAGTCATCCACTGTTCCCTGTTAGTGAGAAGTCCAGCCCTGGCTGGACCTGTTGTTTCACCTTCCTTGTCCTTTCAGATGAAGTCACTCTCTGCTCCCCAAACTGTGGTATCCATCTCCCCTCCAAGTGCCCTGCTGCTCCTTGGGCTCTCTCCTGGGGGTAGTACAGGTGGCAGTGCCATTGCCAAGGGCTGCTTGCAGCTACACGCAGCTTTTTAGAAGCTGGAATTACAGATTCCAATACAAGATTCCATGTCAAATTTTATGGTCAGTGCAGAATGGTTTCCAGTTTTTATGTAGCTGCAGAAGTTCATCTCCTGAAGAATTATGCTGTGTTTATAGCCTTAAGTCCAAAGGTTTGCAAAGCAACTTCCAGCTGCAGTTAATATGACATTGATTCTGTAATCATGAATATTCTGATCACAAGTGTTCCTTAGCATCAAGCAGAAGAGATGGTGGAATTTCTTTTTAAACATAATTCTGCTGTTAAAATAAAAATGGCAAATCTCTGAGTTCGAGCCTTTTTCAAGTGATCCCCAATGCTTCATGTTGAGCATTTGCTTTTTGCCATCTGCTATTTTCTGTATTTGTCAACACATGTATGCTCAGCATCTTGAAGGAACAGGCAGATGTAAAATTTCCAGAGCTAAAGAGAGTTGGAGATCTTGCCATATGTCATCCAAAAGATGACTATAATTGCAGCTAAATCTCAGGATTGACCTTAATAATACAAGGTAATACACAATTAAGAGTGATTGAATTGTAGCTTTGTAAGAATGACTTCATCAGGGCAAATTTGCTTAAAACTGGTGAATTTTTGAAAACAAACCCCTTTTTATTAATTCTAACAAATTGGGGATGGAAAAGGTTAATAAGCCAGAACAAAACTGTACATAGACACAATATATTCATATACTAGAGTGAATATATTTTTCTTTACTGCACTTAAAAATACATTTTTTTAATTTGGTCAGGTCACAACATGTATGCAAGTGAATAATTTTATTATAGGTAATATCATTTCAGTCCTTAAGATTAGTATTGATTTGATACAGAAAATGAGTTTGGGCTAAAACCAGGGATTTTTTTTTGACACACCTTCTAATTATTTAAGTATGTTATAAAATTTCCTTGAGGCTTAATTTTTTTTCCTAAAAATCCTTGTGTACTTAGGTGACTGATAAGTGGATCATCTTGATTCTCTATCACTGTAAGGATCAGTAGCAGCTGAAGATGACACTTTGGGGCACAAGATGCAATGGGCCATTATGAATTCTATATAAAGCTTATTTTTAAAAGAAAATGCAACTTCTGTGTATGCAGGTACAAAGCTCCAGCCTGTAATTCTGAAAGGAGAAAAAATGCAAGTGAGTGCTTTGAAACCGGCAGAGATTCCTTGGCTGGCTCTTACAAACTCGTGCTGAAATGCTTTCTGAGGCACAGAAGACTTGTAGCTCCCATTCTCTGAAAGGAATCCAGCAAATTCTGAAAATGAATATCTTGCTGAAGTGGTAGGAGTGGGTCTTGAATCTTCTGTCTTCATAACATGCTGGTGGGTTTGAGATATTTGGGATCCACAGTCACATACATGTTGGTTTCAACAAGGTGATTTCTTCAATGGATAAATGGGTTTTGTGCTCTGTGCTTGGTTTTTTTAAGGAATCCATTCAGCTTTTAGGAAGGGCAGTGCTTATGTTCCGTTTCTAAATGTGTATAAAATCAACAGAAGATAAAATTAGAGCAACAGAAATAAGGTATCCAGGGAACACACACACACACAGACACCTCCCTTCATCTTATTTTTGGCACAATTTTTGCATTTGCTTTTGGTCTAGCACTCTGTTGTCAAAGAATAAGTTGTCAGATTGTTTTTGAATTTTTATGTAGCTGCTTTATATATGAAAACTGCTTTTCACCAGGAATAAAGTCACCAAACACATAAGCTTTGTCTAGCTGAAAATCAGGTGTCTGTTCCTGTTGATGCTGATAATATTATAGGATACCTTTCAACTGGAAAAAAATTATTGTGCAAGAAAATTATATGCTGCTGTTACAATGTGTGCCCTAATCTTAAAGAAAATCCATGTAATTTGAGCAGGCAGCAGCAAGAAGCTCTTATTTTTAATATGGTATGGCAATAAAATATATGTGCCACTTACAAATATGTGCCACTTAACACAGAGTGTTACAAAAATTATCTTTTTTATCAAAAGGGGTGGTGTGTGTGTATATAAATCCAAAGTGTTAAGGTGCTCACTTGATCTGTTTGAAGGAGTAGGAGATTTGCAAACAGAGAGCATCAGGTACAGGTGAAAATGACTCTCAGCAACAAAAAATAAGGAAATTAATAAAAATTTAATTTAATGAGGCAAAATTACTTCAAGAAGTAGTTTAAAACAAAGTAGTTTTAAACATGTTCCATGGAATAAACTCAAGAAGAGTTTATTGCATGGAACATGTTTAAAGGAAAGACATATGACTTTCTGGAGAGTAAACCTCTGTTACTGATTTCTGTACTCATCTAAATTCTGCAATCACAAGAAATGCAGAGGGTGTCATATATGCAAAGAGCTGCTTGTTCTTTTTTTTTGTGATTGTTCTTTTCATGTTTGTTGCAAGGTAAATTCAGTATTACTCCTGAAAGGACCTGCCTGCTTAGAATTTCATGCTGAGTTTAAGTTGAGAATTTGAAACTTAAAAATGAAAACACCGAGTTTTGTATTGGAAGTCTGATAATAATGCTTTTCATGAGATTCAGGCAGTGTAAGTATTCCTCTTTCAATATCCTTGGGCAGGTTTTTATTTTTTTATTTGAATAGCAGCACACTTTTTAGCAGTGTTTAACAGATCATCATGCTTAGCTAATTCTAACTTCACCTAACTGGTAGAAAATGGGTTTGTAATTTGACAATATAAACAGAGCAAGTTCAGTGGAGTTAATCTAATAGCTGCAGAGAGAAAGATAAGCATCAAGTTTGATACAAAGGACTGTTGTTTCAATGCTCAGGGTAGATTTACTCTGAGCTGTTCTCTACATCTCATGTACTAATTACCACTTGAATAAAAAGAAGGGGGCATATTTTCAACCTGAGGAGTTGATTGTCAGTCTAGGTAGTACCAGGTGAAGCTCAGTGCTAGAGAAGTCACTAATTCAAACAGCTTCATTAGCCAGCCAGGTCATGGTCCTGCTGCTGTTTAAACTATGAGTTGTGTGATTTATTCACCTGACTCTGGTGTTGGTTTTTGTTTGGTTCACAATGAGGTATGTAATGATTTTTTTAAAGATGCAGGTGAATTTTAACAAGTGGGTGGGGTGTGAATATCCCTGCAGAAGAAGTTTTGTCTTTTACGTAGAATGTGAGAACCAAATAAGCCAACAAGTAAATAGTGCATTGCTTATTCAGGTAGTTCAGCCAGTTGTGAAAGCAATGTTAGGTTTTTTTTATTATTATTTCTAAATTTAATCTGTTTACTTACAGGGTTATTGTCTACAGTTCATTTGTTATAATAAGCAGCTTCTGGTACCTCACCCTCTGTAGATTTATGGTTCATACACAACAGAATGGGCACCAGGCAATTGAAATGGGAGATTTGGGCACTATGTGCTTGGCCTTTGATGTCATTTGTGCTCTGCAGAGGAATCTGATGCCTCTCTTGAACACTTTGTGCCCTGGTTATGTAAGTTATTCATTGTAATATATATTAAAAAAAAGATCTATACTCTGTTTGGTAGACTTTTTGTGAAAGGTGTTCAATACTCACAAATATTCACTATGTCCTGAATCAGTATAAAATAAAAATTCTGATCAAAAATAAAATCTTTAGTGGTTTATTAAATGCCATAAAGATATTTCTTTAACATTTGCAAGTGTTCTTCCAGCATTTTGAAGACATGTTGAAATAATTTTATATTGTGCAGTGTGCTTTTTATCTCATTTCCAATGAGAGATGTTTGAAATCAAGATCAGAGAGAAAAAGATACCAATTAAAGCACAAAGAAGGAGGCTACAAAGAGCAGCATAAAGCTTTTGTATCACAAATGTTCTGGTTGTTCTGATGTTTGAGCAGCCACAGTCAAGAGTACCTTGAGCTGTTCAGTATTTCCAAATCAGACCATGCATTCAGGTGTCCACTTGAGAAATTTTAAGCCCCAGGTCAGTTATTTAAAGAAGCTCCAAGTCCAGAACAATGGTCTGAAGGGTGATAAAAGTTCAGGGTAGAATCAATCATGTTGGAATGGCTGTGTTTATAGAAGGATCTCTTATGGCTGTTAAACAAAATTGACCATGTTTGTGTTCAATCTCAAACAGTTATTACATATTTTCAAATATTGTCCTGTGATGTACTAGCCTGTAAAATTCAGTGTTTGGGGGACTTGTTGGATTTTTTATTATTTAAATAAATAATCTGTGTCTAATTTTGTCTTCTGTTTGAAAAACATAATAAAATTATTATGTTGTTTAAGCGACACATTCTCACGTTCCTTCTTTCTTCCATCTCTTCACGCTTTGGAGTTAGAAAATCCCCATCTGAATGATGTAGCTGTCCCACCCTCCATCTTCTCGTGGCCTCAGTGCATCACAAATGCTTCCTCATCTCCCACTGAGCTCAAATGCTCAGCAGACATGAGCTCATGGAGCTGATTTAATGCAGAAGTGAGTTCATGTACCTGAAGGCTTGCCTTGTAGGATACTTTGTGGGTAGCTAATTGCTCTAGAAAAAAAAAGTTCAGCTTTTTGTGCTCTGCCAGTCATTTGGATAAACTCTTTCTCATTTAATTTTCAATAAATTAAAAGTGATGTTTCAAGGCTGAAAAGTCAGTTGTCAGCTATTGACTGAGTGTTGTCCAACTTGACCCTTCATTGTTATTCCTACTACATTATCAATAATGAAAAAATTCACTCTGTTTTGCTTGGATTTATGACCTAAGAATGTCCATAGTCAGAGAAAGTAAAGATGAATGAGTTTGCTGAGCAGTATCTTAGCTAAAACATTTTTCTTTCCTTGCCAGAACATTAGGTTGTAACTAATGAGGTGTTTGAGGAGAGGCTGGGCAGGAGCTCAGCTCTTTTAAGAGGTTCTTGCCTTCTGTCAGAGCAATCCAGGCTTGGCAGTGCCAAGGATGGGCTTGGGAGGGTTCTCCCAGTGAAACCCTGGCTCCTGCAATGTGGGAAATGGGTTTGTAGGAAATCTCAAAGCCTGAAAGCTCCCATAGGGTGCATCTGTATGCAAACTTTGAGATAGAAATGCTGACTTAGAAATGCTGTGGAATAGGACAGACATTGCTGAGAGAGAAATGGAAATAGAAACAAGTTTCAAAGGATGGCCTTGCAAATAAGACTGGATACTCTGGAGAAATAGAACTATGAAAGATGCATTTTAGAGGATTGGCTTTAAGGCATTTACAGCATGGTGTTGCAAAAGCTGATAGGCCAAGAAACACAGTGTTTTGTAATGAGGAAATAATTGGCTTCTGATTGTGATGGTGTGAATTGTAACATCTGTATTGTCTCACCCTTCACATGAGACTGAAAATGGAATAAAAGTTTTTAAAACACCTCTCAGTTGCCCCATCTCTGGGTTAGAAAAGGGTAAATCCCCCACTGGAAATGTTGCTGTTGAAACTCAAGGGATGAAAACTGGGATTATTCCTTCCTGCTGACCTGTGCTGATCTTTGACTTTACCTTTCCTTGCCTGTTCCCTTCTGAAATGGGGCAGTTGTGTGAAGGCTGAGACTTCTTAGATAGAGTCATGAAATACCAGTGTCCCAAAGGTCAGTGGTGAATTCTGGTGAGTGAGCAGAATATTCTGGATATCCTGGATTCCCCCTCAAAGTGTGTCCCTGCAGCGTTGTGGGGACATGCTGCCAAATTTGTTTTCCTGCTGCAAATGGAGAAATTTGCCAAATCAAATACCAAATGAGAAGTTAAATGAGCACCAAACTAGTGAGCAGTCTGGGTAGGAACACATCCTTCAAGGCAATGAATAAATACAATACAAATTAATTTCTAAGTGGGTGTTATTCCATAAGTTATGTTTGGAATTGTTCTGTCACTGTGGCTATGAATTCTTGAAATAACACTCACTTTTATTTATTGTTGCTGTTGTTAGGGGTTTTTTTTTTTCTGTTGTGTTTTAGGTTGTTTTTTGGTTTTTGTTTTTTTAATACTGGTTTTCACAACTGAGTAAATTCTGTTAATAAGTAGCTTTTTATGTCCATTTTAAACGTTATAATTCAACAAGGGCCAAACCTGTTATTTTGAGATCTCAAATGGCTTCAAACGCTGTAGGGATTCTGTGTTGCTCTCAGAGATGGGGAAAGCTGAAAGAAATAAGTTTCAAGAAAACAAAAAAATCAAAACCTTAGTGTGCAAGTGTTGGAGTTATGGTTGCTAATAACTCATTTTTTAAAAGTCCTGTACTCTGCAGCTGAAGTGCCTTGGGGACTTGGATTATTTTGCATTGTGCTTAAAGCTGTGAGGCTGTTTTCAGGAATTCCAAAAAAATTGGGAAATGAATGTGACGCTGGTTTGGAATACTGAATGTGTGACTGGGGCAGGGGGGCAACACAGAACATTGTGCTTGGTGCTTTGACTTGGATTATTCTGCATTATGCTTAAATCTGATCTTTTAAAGCTGTGAGGGTGTTTGCAGGTATTCCAAAAGAACTGGAAAATGAATGTGGCACTTTGGTTTGGAATACTGAGTGGGTGGCTGTGAGTATCAGAGTGCTTGGCTCTGCCTGCAGAAGGGTTTCCCCCCCCAGTTTTTCAGCAGTTTAAACAACCCTGCTCTGTTTGGTTTTCTGGAGTGGTTTTTTTTTTGTTGTTTGTTTGTTTGTTTGTTTGTTTGTGGTTGTTTTTCCATAAAACAGAGGATTTGGGAGTTTGCTTTCACGTGAAAGTAGTATTTGTCTAAACTGTTTTCCTAACCATTTGTTTGTCTGGAGTTATTATGTGACCAGGGCCACAATAATCTATGACTAAACAACAGAACATTGTTCAAAGTGATATTACTGGTGTAAATTGTGAGCATAGGAGCCAGAAATTTAGAAAAAAATCTAAAATTCCCTTTCTATTTTTACCTTTATACTACTGTAAATTTAAGTGGTTTTTCCCCCCTTCATTCCTTTGCTGGTTGTTGATGGATTTTCTGTTGTTTTTTCTTCTCCTGCTGTCTAGTGTAGTTTTCAAAGAGCTTTTTGAAGTACCTCTTGAGGCTCTTGGGTCACTCTTCATAGGAAAATAAGGAGCCATGGAAAGAGAAGAAAATGAAAGACTCTGTTTCTAAAAATGTACCTTTTGGTAACCATAGCTTCTGGTTTTTCTCCTCATTTTCATTAGCCAAAGAATTGTTCTCTTGTGTTTATACAAACAACAGTTGATATTCTTTTCCATCAGTAGAAACTGAAACTTTTACACTTGATCTTTTTTTACTCTGAAGGGCCCTAAAGTAGCAAAGAGTGTGGAAGTTCAAAGTAGCAGGGTGATGCTACAGTACCATGAGAAAAGCAGTTGCATTTTAAGTATATTTAAGCAAGATACCTTCAAAATAAAAAAGAAATCCAGTGTGGAAATTAATGAGTTTGTGAAGTGTAATTTAGTCTGTGGGTTTTTTAAATTGCACTTTGAGGACTCCAGTAATTTTCAAGAGTTTGCTGCGCTGCATTGATAGTCCCATCCTGTGTTTTCAGTGTGCAGCTGTCAGTGAACACCCATTTTGTGTTCTGCATACCTGTTGCACATTGCTGTGGACATTTCATCCTAATTTCTTTCTTTCTTTATTTTTTTTTAATTGTGGCTGGTTTTAAAAGAAAGCCATTTGGGTTGTCTGTGGGTGTTTCCTTTCAAAATTATCCAGTGGGTAATGAGTAACTAAAATGTATGGGGAAAACTCCTTTTTCCTCACGAGTGCTGTCTTGGGGATGTTTTGCTGCAAATATTTGAATTACAGCAAGTACTTCCTTATAGTTACAGCTATAGCAACAAAAGTGTTACCTGAAATATTTCTGTTCTGGTGGATTTTATTTGTCTCAGACAAAGGTGTAGGTGTGCTGTGCTGGATGTTGTGTGTAACAGTGGTAATTTCTGGCCAGAAGGTTAAGGAAAAGATGAATAATGTGTGTAAAACATGCAAGCAGTGGAATATTGTGTGGGAAGATTGATACTTGCACAACAGTTCTTATCATGGCATTTTATAAGGAGGAAGAAGGGACAAGACTGGGCACAATTTCCACCAGCTAACTGATCAATGAGAAATGTTGGGAAAAAAAATCATAGAATAGGTAAGTTCTCAGAGATGAGAAGGAAAATGAAATGGTCATCTTGTATTTTTCCACAAGTGAGGAACATTTCCCATGAGAAAGACTCACCTTGGAGATGGGCAGTGCAGGCTGTAATTAGTGTCAGGGCTGATAACAAAATCAGCTAGGGCAAGGCTCAAGTTGGTCAAAAGCTTAAAAGTTGGGGGAAGAAAGGAGGAAGAGATGAAGTCATGAATCAAGTAGATAAATTCCTTGCTCTTTTGTCCAGCTGCCTTGGCACAGGCATCCTTTGGGGAAGCTGAAATCTCTGAGAAGATGATGGAGTGTCACAGGGAGCTCCTCACTTTCTGCTTCTCCTCTTTGCAAGTGGAAGAGGACACTCCTTGCATGTTCCCTGCTAAATTCTGCCAGGGCAGTGAGGATGTTGCAAGGCCTGACTGGGCACTAGGAAGGCAAGTTTAAGAGCTGGCATCATCCTTTTCACAGAAGTGAACAAGTTCCACATTTTGGAGAGAGCGCTTTGCAACGTCACTGAAATACAAACAGCACCTTCAAACTCATCTTGTTTTGTGCTGTTTTGAGATGAGAGCACTCCTCTCTTTTTTTTCCTTTCTTTTTCTTTTTTCGTTTTTCTTTTTTCTTTCATTTTTCTTTTGTTTTTTTTTTTCCTTTTTTTCCCCTTTTTTTCCTTTTTTACATTTTTTTCCTATTTTTTCTTGCTTTGTGTACAGGATAGGCTGCAATCCCAGCAGTTAGTTTAGGAAGACTTTTTCTTTCTATTTTCCTTTTTTTTCTTTTTTTTCCTATTTTTTCTTGCTTTGTGTACGAGAAAGGCTGTGGCACTTCATTTTAGGATGTCGTTATTTTTCTTTTCTTTTTTCTTTTTTTTCTTTTTTTCATTTTTTTTCCTATTTTTTCTTGCTTTGTGTACAAGAAAGGCTGCGATCCCAGCAATTCAGTTTAGGAAGATTATTTTTCTTTTCGTTTTCCTTTTTTTTTCTTTTTTTCTTTTTTTTTTTCCTTTTTTTCTTTTTTTTTTCTTTTATTTCTTTTTTCTTTTCCTTTTCCTTTTTTTTCTTGCTTTATGTACAAGAAAGGCTGCGAACCCAGCGGTTCAGTTTAGAAAGACTTTTTTTTTTCTTATCTTTTTTATTTCCTTTTTTTCCTTTGTTTACTTTTTTTTTCCTATTTTTCCCTGCTTTGT